TACTCTGCAGCGGTCCGGGATGTACTGATCCATCTGGCTTCCTGTTGGATTCAAGGGACTGTTTACTCATATATCAAACAATCTGGAATACAACACAATGATAAAACTTAAGTTGGGAATTTTCATGGGAAAATTTCCCGCATTTACAATAAAAAAAGACAGATCTATATCTTTTTAGAAATTAGAAAATTATGACAAAAGTAATTATGGCAAGAGTAACCATTATGGCAGAAGTATGTCTAATTTAAGATGTAAAGAAGGTAGTCCTCATCAGGGGCGTACGAGGGTTTTTGTTTAGGCGGGGGCACAATTTTTGGTCCCCCCTCTTGGCAACATTGGTCCCCCCTTAAAAACCCCTTTTTTGAAAAAATATTAATACCTTTTTTAAATTTTTTTTGCCCCCCCCCTCCCACCTGGACTTGTTTTGTTCACCATAAAAATACACCAAACTAACCTTAGAGTCTAAAAATTATTCCTATGCTTGAAAAACTAACTTTTTGACTTTATAAATTTATCACTTAACTCCATCACAGCATCATTAAAAATTATATTTTTTCGAATAAACGAAATTTCTTCTGAAATTTTTAGTTAGAATTTACTCAATCTACATTTTAACCAAATCTTTTAAGCTACAATTTTCTGGGATTTGCTTGCACAAACATTTCAATGATTTTTTTCAGTAGAGAGCTCAGACAGCCTTATAGGGTGTAAAGCTATAAGTGCAAGATCGTTAAGTCTGCTCTCCGTCATAGTACATCTTGTGTAATGAAGTATTCTCTTTAGAAGGCTAAAACTTTTCTCTCCTTGTATTAACAGTGAATTTAGACAAATCCTTATTCTTTGTCATTGTCAGGTGTTACTTTCTAAACGTATTTTCCTTTTAATTTTGTATTTTTGGAACTCCCAGAGGGGGCAAGTGAACTACTGCCCCCCCTAGGTACACCACTGTGCCTGACCTGAGGAAAGGAAATGCAAGCAGATGTAATATTAAAAGAGCCTCCCCCATGGATGCCCCCCCTCAGCCTCTCAGGGGGGGCACACGTAGAGGGGGGCGAAGGGCGCGGCCCCCCTGGTCCTCATTTTGGAAAGCTCGTAAGACGTTCAATCTTTATTTAATGAATTTCTCGTAATTTATCAATTACCGTAAATCAAAGACGATATTCAAGTTGTCTCTCAATGGGAATGTTTATTGAGACACCCTGTACAACCCGTATAGACTTAAAGTGGTGTCACGAGATGAGAAATCCCGCTAAGAAGAATATTTTTTTATTCATAAGCTTGTTTCCAAAAGTTTCCCGACACTTTTGACCATTTCAGGTGCATGAAAATCAGGATGTTTTGTGATTATTATCTCTAGAAATTTACTTTCGGCACCTCCCGGCTTATCATGGCTAACAACTGGCTCAATCAAAGAAAACTACTCAGAAACTTTTAATAATTTCATAAAATAATGATCCTAGGTTACTTGGGTCTCGAGCATAAATGGAAATTAATAGATCTACCAATTACGGAGATATTGACACTTTACAACACAGGCAAACAAGTACATCGCCAAAATTTATTTATATAAAACCTCTTACTTAACGTAAAAGTACCCAGGATTCAATCCTGTAAAAAGGACAGAGATTGCTCGAAGATGCACATCCCGAACGTTAGTGCTATGGTCGGCACCTCCCGGCTTATCATGGCTAACAACTGGCTCAATCAAAGAAACACTCAGAAGACTTTCAATACTTTCATAAAATGCTCATCTCGTCTCGAGTTTAAATGAAAAATAAGATAAAATTACTGAGCCAGTTTGTTAAAAATAGTTTTAAGTTTAAGTTTTAATAATCTAAAATGTCTGAATTCGATACAAGAATTTAAAAAGCCATAAAACATTCAATTGATGGTAGAAAGGAATGTTGGAGTGAAGATGAATAGACCGGGCTGGAACGGGTTCACCTGTATAAACAATTTATAAAAATTTATTTTCAAAAATGTGCCGTTCAGTATAGAGGCACTGGACCCATGCAGGGTACCTTGCAGAATATAGTAGCTTTTAAAGACCTTTTTATATTCACGATCTGATATAGTACTGCACTGTTTTGCATTTACTGTACGCTGTACATAAGATGGTAACGTAAACAAGCATTGTACATACAATAACACCGTACACGTGTGCAGTTAATGTACATACAATAACACCGTACACGTGTGCAGTTAATGTACATACACTGAAATCTACTCCCTTCAAAAAAGGTCCTTAATAATTCTAACAGAAATTTATTTTACAAAAACGTAACATAATAAAAGAAATTTGGAATCACAGGTCAAATAAATACGAAATAAAAGGAAAAGTGCCAATATATATTCTGATTAAGTATTCTTTTCAAATTCACAAAAATTTTAAAATTGATAATAAAATCATCTCTTGATTCAACTAACATTAAAATAATTTAGACAAGCCTTTCGGAAAAATCAATTTATAAAGACATCACGATTTTTGGCAAATACTTAAATAGTGTATTTTCATACACATTCATTTTGCAATCTTGGATTTTTGCACAATCCTACAGTATTCTAATAAATTAACTAAATAAAAATTCCGATTAAATAATGGTAATTATAAGAAAATTTACATTTTTATATATTAAGTAAAAACTGCAACAATTAAAATTTTGACTTAAGCTCTTGAAGAATTTCATTTTATAGATACGACAATAATTTTAACGTAGTAGGATGAAATAAAGGAAAAACAGTTGAATTTATTTTAGACAAAAGTACTTTTCAATTTTAGATAGAAAACCTTATTATTGATTAAATTTTGTCACAATTATGGCGTTTTGGACATTTGACCGGACACGTCTAAAATTAACTTAAAACTTAAAACCACATTTGGGTTTCTCTAAAGGTTACTCGAATGTAAATTTTTCAATGATATCATCTAATCTAATCTAATCTAGAAAACGAGCCGTACCTACCAATTCATTTCCTTAAATGCATACATTTTAAAATCAATATAGAGATTTGGATTTGATTATAAATTGCAAAAGTTAATCTTAAAATTAACTAGAGGTTTCTATGTAATGATTAAAAATAGGATAATTGATAAGTATATATACGATCATATGTTGTGTGTAGAGAAAGAACAAAATATTGTTCAGGATAATCTGATTCAGCATCCTGTCAACTTAACAAACATAATAAAATAACTCATTAAAGGGACTGGAAGCGTAAATTTAAGTGACCTTCCATTTGAAAGAGGAGGATACCCGATTTACTTCGGTACCATTTAAACCTATTATTAATCTACTAAAACGCTTTTAATTGCAAAACGCAAAAAATATACTTTTGCATGGTTGAAAGCCGCTTTACGCGTCTATCAGTTCATACTTTGGTTTGCGTACTTAACAGATCAGCTGCATTGAGGTTACTCTGTACACATTGTACTGGCCGCGTTTGAGAGTAATTTAAGCCGGTTTCGATATGTTAAAACAGAGAGATCTTTCTTCTCGAGGAACAGTCAAAGGGTTCAAGGTTACCAATGTAAATCGGGCAATATCCTCTTTTCATGGAGCGCCACTTGAAATTACAATTACAGTCCCTTTGAATTAACCAATTTTATGTGTTCTTTGATAAACAGAAGGTTGATTGATTAAGTTTCCAGAAACAACTTGATTCAGTTTTTAAAACCTCTTCATGTATACTATCCTTATGTAACTTACTCTGATACTGAGTAAAGATTATGATTAATAACTGAGTGCTTGCTGCCCAATATTCTGTCCTCTCAGTATTCATCTGTTCGTAATTTTTCTGTCGGGGCACTCCTTTCCGCACCTCCATCCCCACTACTCAATTGAGGGCCATTGGATCCCATGAGTTCCCCAAATCCACCTACAGGGACCCGGCAGGTCCCACACACAAACTGAAGAAGACGGGACCTTAAAAAGAAATGAGATACAGAGAAGGTTATCAAAATTATGAATTGAACTATAATTTCCATTACCATAACAAGGAACCCCACAGTATTTTTTTAAGAGATTAAAAAAAGGAATTAAGAAAATGATCCGCTGATCATATAATTACCTTTTTTGCTTCTTAGACTGTAAAATACGCATATCTGATTATTAAAGCTAAAATGAACCCCTTAGCATCTTACCTTGTTTCATTATCCATCGCCTTGACATAAGCCCAGAACCATTGAACCTGTTTACTTGTCTTTGTGTAGTGGCGGTATATTGTATTCTTCTGCCAATCCTAACAACAACAACACATAGTTTAGTGGCAGTATATTGTATTCTTCTGCCAATCCTAACAACAACAACACATAGTATAGTGGTGGTATATTGTATTCTTCTGCCAATCCTAACAACAACACATAGTTTAGTGGTGGTATATTGTATTCTTCTGCCTATCCTAACAACAACAACACATAGTATAGTGGCGGTATATTGTATTCTTCTACCAATCCTTACAACAACACATAGTTTAGTGGCGATTTATTGTATTCTTCTACCAATCCTAACAACAACAACACATAGTATAGTGGCGGTATATTGTATTCTTCTACCAATCCTAACAAAAACAACACATAGTTTAGTGGCGGTATATTGTATTCTTCTACCAATCCTAACAACAACAACACATAGTTTAGTGGCGGTATATTGTATTCTTCTACCAATCCTAACAAAAACAACACATACTTTAGTAGCGGTATATTGTATTCTTCTACCAATCCTAACAACAAAAACACATAGTTTAGTGGCGGTTTATTGTATTCTTCTACCAATCCTAACAAAAACAACACATAGTTTAGTGGCGATTCTTCTACCAATCCTAACAAAAACAACACATAGTTTAGTGGCGGTATATTGTATTCTTCTACCAATCCTAACAAAAACAACACATAGTTTAGTGGCGGTATATTGTATTCTTCTACCAATCCTAACAAAAACAACACATAGTTTAGTGGCGGTATATTGTATTCTTCTGCCAATCCTAACAAAAACAAAACATAGTTTAGTGGCGGTATATTGTATTCTTCTACCAATCCTAACAACAACACATAGTTAAGTGGCGGTATATTGTATTCTTCTACAACTAACAACAACAACACATAGTTTAGTGGCGGTATATTGTATTCTTCTGCCAATCCTAACAACAACAAATAGTATATATATAGTGGCGGTATATTACATCCTTCTGCCATTCCTAACAACAACACATAGTATAGTGGCGGTATATTATATTTTTCTGCCAATCCTAACAACAACAACACATAGTATAATGGCGTTATACTGTACTCTTCTGCCAATCCTAACAACAACAACACGTAGTTTAGTGGCGGTATATTGTTTTCTTCTACAAATCCAACAGCAACAACCCTTAAAGCAGATACTAACCTCCACATCAATATTTTGCATACCACAGATAATAAGCTCAAGTTCACGTTCATCAAAGTACTGCAACCATTCCAGAGGAACAACCTAAACATGGAAATCATTTAAAGTTCTACGATGAACCCTTGTTTTTTTAAATCTTAACACTCTAACGCCTGAAAACTGTGTCATTATGTACACCATGAATCTAGGCATCTTGAATTACAAATACAACTTATGGGGTCATAATATCAGTAAAATCAGTTTTAAACAATTTGACATTTTGAAAGAAAAAGGAAAACAAATGACATCATTACTCCAAAAAAAGTAATTCCATGAATATCTCAATAAATCCATCAAGGAATACATTTCAACCCATAAAATCATAAAAAATAAACAAAAACATATTAATAGAATTTGCCTCATAAAATCGATCAAGGAATAGGGTACAGACTTCGTCGTATATATCAATACAATGAACACGGCTATCGATTTAAATTTTGAATTCTACTATGCTTTTAAAGAGCATGGAAACACATAAACATGGAATCAAAGAGGAGCTCTCAATTAACAGTTTCTCTTTGTTTACTTTGTATACTTGTAATTTGAAAAAAGCTTGTTAGAAATCAAATCCTAATTAGAAAAGTCATCGTGATTGTGTTGATATAAACGCTGACCACTGTATACTACATTATACCAATCAAGGAATAGAATTTATCTCATTAAAACCATCAAGGAATATAATTTACCTCATTAAAACAACAAGGAATAGAATTTACCTCATTAAATCCATCAAGGAATAGAATTTATCTCATTAAATCCATCAAGAATAGAATTTACCTCATTAAAACCATCAAGGAAGAGAAATTACCTCATAAAATTCATTAAGGAATAGAATTTACCCTATTATAACCATCAAGAAATAGATTTCACCTCGTCAAACACATTACATAATAGATTTTACCTCATTAAATCCATCAAGAAATAGATTTTACCTCATCAAATCCATCAAGGAAAAGAAGTTACCTCATCAAATCCATCAAGGAATAGATTTTACATTATAAAATCCATCAAGGAATAGATTTAACCTCATCGAATCCATCAAGAAATAGATTTTACCTCATAAATCCAAAAAGGAATAAAACTCACCTCATTAAATCCATCAAGGAATAAAACTCACCTCATTAAATCCATTAAGGAATAAAACTCACCTCATTAAATCCATCAAGGAATGCTTTAGTCTGTTCTTCTATTCCTCTTGTCATTCTCCACTCTGTAACTAACTCTAGGTATTCCTCCTAAACAACGAGTTATTGTAAGTTCCCTGCAACTAACTGCATTATGTTCTGTGAGTACAGTACTTTACTGTTTTATAATGCACTGTACTGTTTTGTAATGCACAGTACTGTTTTGTAATATAACATTCTGTACAAGGGGATCCAACAGGATGTTGAATAAGTGGATCTATTTACACATATGTATTGTATTGGCAAATATTCGGATCCACGGATCCGGATCCAAGGATACGGATCCAAGGGGCAAAATATGAACCAAAAACTGTGAACAAAACATTCTGCTCTCCAGCCCCAAATCTGAACTGTTGAAAAAAAGAGATTATCAAAAATTTACCTTTAAATGGTTTATTAAGTTTTAGGATACAAATAAGCGAAGAAAAGAAGAAAAATAATTGAAAACTTTTCTTTCGTGAATCTTCCAATCCGCATCAAAATGAAATGGATCCTAAGCACTTATACTGTACATATTCGTCCGAGGTTGCGTGATACATGTAAGTTAACAGTGCTTAGGATCCATTTAATTTTGATGCGGCGGATCCGGATCCTGGATTCGCACGGGAAAAAATGGATCTCGATCCGGATCCAGGTTGTTTCTTTAAAATTTACTGGATTTCTTAACAAAGCAGAATTTTCAATTTTTTGTCTTATTTTTTTCGCTTATTTTTATGCTGAAACTTGATGAACCATTCAGAAATTAGGAAATTCTTTATAATCTCTCTTTTTTCAATATTTTTTTTTTGCAGTTTTTGTTGATATTTTGCCCCCTGGATGCGGATGTAAAATATTTCAAAGTTCTAAATCTCTTTTTTTATCCAAGAAATTCCAAAATTATTGAAATGAACAATGCTCAACCTTATATTTTTCGGCACTCTCCCCCCCCCCCTCCCTAACGTAAAAAGATCAATCTGCGCCAACCTTGTTTTCTTCATTAACCATGATATCAGCTCCATCTGGTTTCAGATTATGTGGTTTAATCTCACCAAGCAGTTCAAAATCAACTTCATATACATTTGTTACAATTTTCACCCTCACAAGGGAAATTAATTTATCATTTATTAAAATCAATTCAGCCAATAAAACCCCCAAAAACATTACTATCTTCTTTAAAAATACACCCCTGTAAATAACATGACTAAAATCTGATGAATGAATGAATGTATTCCTGAGAAGAACATCTCTAATCCACACTCCTCAAGATTATTATCCTTGATCCAAACTAGAGAATTATAGAACTCAGGGTCTATACTCTCTATATCCTACAATATAATATTATTTATTTTCTATTATTAACCTTATTTTTCGTTGAAAACTTGTTTTGCTGCTGGAGCTGATTTTTGAACTTTTTGGGAAAATGTCAACTTCGCTTTTAAAAATTCTCGAAATTGCAAAAATAAATATTCTCAAAAGTTACAAAATGAAAATACTATGATATGTAAACGACATAAACGAAATGGGGTTTCATGTTTGGCTTTCATACTATGTCGTAAATCGGTCATGACACTGTAAAAAAGGAAATGAACATAAATTACGCCTAATGTCCCTTTAAGCTAAATAAACCATCTAGTTTACCTTCATAGTAAGTTTTCTATTCAACATCCTCTTATAGAAAGGCATCGTAAATCCGCTGTAGATAAACTTCCCGTGGTACATTGCCATAGCGATAAACCGTCCTAGAATACAGTTATTAAAATCCTTCTCACTTTATTCATTTTCATTCGATTTCAATTGTGGCCATGTTCTCTTTATATACATTGTAAAACAAAAAAAGAACAAAAAATTCGCGGATTTTATAAAAACATTTCCATGATTATCAAAATTTTAAAAAATCGAATTTTGATCAAGGCAAATTTTTAAAAATTCGATCAACCATAAACTTTCTTTGGGGTCAAGCGAGGTCCCAAAAAAAGGTTAGGCCCGATCGGTTCAGCCGTTTTGACGTTTATTGATTACAAACAAACAGACACCCAGACAAGCAAAGTATATAAATCATATTTAGATAATAGTCAATGAATACAGATATTATAGGGATCCATCCTAGAATACAGATATTATAGGGACCCATACTAGAATACAGATATTATAGGGATCCATCCTAGAATACAGATATTATAGGGCATCCTTCCTAGAATAAATATATTAAAGGAAACGTTCTAGAATATAGAATCAAAGGAACCCCTCAGAGAATACAGATTTAGGCCGGGAACCCTCCTAGAAAAAAGATATTACAGGCAATGTCCAAGAATACAAAATCAAAGGAACCCGTCCGAAAATACAGATTTAAAAGGAAACCGTCCTATAATACCCTATAATACAGATATTAAATGAAACGTCCTACAACACAGATATTTAAGGGAACAGTCCTAGAATACAGACATTAAAGGAAACGTTCTAGAATACAGATAAGAACCGTCCTAAATTAAAGATATTCAAAAAACCCATCCTAGAATACAGATATTAAAAGAATCATACTAGAATACAGATATTAAAAGAGTCATACTAGTATACAGATATTAAAAGAAATTAATCTAGAATTCGGAAATATTGAATGGTTCCCCCAAGACCGTAAACACATTGCCCCAAAAAATAAATTTAAGAAAATTTGATTACCTACAAACTTGAAGTAATGAAGATGATCAGGATTAACATATGAGGCTGGATTAATCTGTAAACTATAATTGTTCTTATTCGCGTACTCAAACAAACAGTACATAGGATTCAGCACCTAGACAATAAACATATTTATATTTCATATTCATAATTCATATTCATATTTATAAAAGCACATTTCATTTTGTTAAAGTACTCAAACAAAAAGTACACGGATTAAGTGTCTTGACACTAAGCATATGTTTAATAAACGAATAGGTTATTAGAGTATACTCTAATACTAATAGTAATTAAGCAAACAGCGCAAAGAATAATTAGTATAATATTTAAAAATTTTACTTTCTTGCAACAAAGAAACAGGACTTCCTTACGAAAGTTTTGAAGACCTATTTAACATGGAAAGAAATACGGAGCAAACATTTTTCGTTTTCGCCAAGCGCCATATCATACTGATACAATTCAGTAGATCCCATATAACTGTGAGATTGTAATATGATAATCTAATGTGTATTTGATGTTATTATAAAGCAAATAAGTAAAGCACCTTGAACTATTTAGTAAATGTTTTTCATATTAATGAAACTATTGTAAATAATAACTTAAGTACATCGTATTTCTTTTCTTTAGGTTCATGGGACAGGGGTGTTTATTTTTCAAAATTTGGTGATCTAGGAAACATGAAAAAACAATTTTTACTTAAAAAATTTACCCCCCATTTTAGTTAAAAAAAAAACATAAAAATTAAATATTTATATAACTTTAGGAAAAAAATATACGCCCCTGTTATTGGGACATTTATACTTCAGCAAGTGTACGCATAAATTCTACCGTACCTCGTGAGAAACTGTGAAAAACCATTCTCTAGAAACTCCTCCATAATCCAGACCCTCTTCACCCTACACAGGACACAAAACATAAAAATTATTTTCAAAATTTTCAAAAAAATGTCGACGTCCAAATAAAGAAACATTTTCTCCTCAAATTTCATATTAAATATATGAAATGAAAGAATTTAAAAAAACGATACATTTCCCTTTCACTTTCATATAAATGTATGAAATGAATAAATAAAAAAAGTCTTTTGTTTAAAATACAAATCAAGAGTACATCTTTTATCTATTCCAAATATGAACTTGATTTTTATTTAAATTTTATCAAACCCGGAAATATAAAACATTTTAAATTCTTTGCTGAATAAAATTTTCCAAGAAATAGCAAATACTTTTGTCATGCTCAAGTCGCAGTTTAATTCATTACAGTCTCCTAAAATTCAGTAGTTTTAGCAATTTTCTCACATTTGACATTTTAAACTGTAATTATGCAAAATGTATTTCAAATAATAAAATAAACCTATAACCTATAACCCTATAAACCTATAACCAGGTTGACAAACTGGGCTTCAATGTGGTGCATGGAATTCAATGTAAAAAATGTTAAGTTTTGCATGTCGGTCGGAATAATAAGAAATTTGAATACCTCATGAACGGAGAGAAATTAGACTCAGTGGACTCATATTTTTCATATTTTTTTTATTCAACTACAAAGCACGAGATAATACAAATAAAAAAATCATAATTTACTATGTAGTTAATGAATGTATTCCTGNCTAAAAAAATTCCCAGTGTAAATTCTGGTTGGGGTTTATTAAGATTTTCGTAAATTTTATTCATTAGGTGTAGTAAAGGTTGATTAGTATTATGTTGTGGTCTAAATCCATATTGATGTTGATAGAAAATCTCAAACTTGTTAAGATATTTAAACATTTGAGTCGCAGCTATTTTTTCAAGAAGTTTACTTAGCGCTGGTAGAATACTAATTGGTCTGTAGTTATTAAATTTATCTTTTTGTTCAGTTTTAAAGATAGGAATTATTTTTGCACATTTATAATCACTAGGGATATATCCTGTTTTAAAAGAAAGGTTAAATAAATGCGCTATAGGATAGACAATACTTTCAATTATTTCCTTCAGTAGCTTGGTAGAAATATTGTCCTTACCTGAACTGTTTTTAGGTTTAAGTTTACTCACTGTTTCAAGAATAATTTCTGGTCTGAACGTAATTATAGACAAATCGTTGAAACCATCGCTTCAATGTGCTAAGGCTGCTAGGCGAGCATCTGGTATCCTTACACAAATTACCAGAGCTTTTCTTTATCGCGATAGAAATACTTTTCTCAAATTATATATAGATGTCATCTCGAATTCTCCATCCCAACTTGGTCACCCTGGTCGCAGGGTGATATCGATATTCTGGAACGGGTACAGAAACGTGCTGTGAATCTAAAAACAGGACTGAAGGGGAAATCATACCTGGAGAAGCTACAGGAAATAGGTCTTATGTCATTGGAAGCAAGAAGATCGAGGTTTGATCTTGTTCAAACCTTCAAGATCATCAAAGGGTTCGACAGAGTTAATAGAGATATTTGGTTTGAGTTGGTCGGACCTGATAATCCAAGACCAACCAGACTGACCTCCCATCAATTCAACATAATCCCTAAACGTTCCAGGACGGATCCTAGATTAAACTTCTTTACTAACAGGGTTGTGAACTCTTGGAACACCCTCCCAGCTGAGATCAAGGATGCTAAATCGCTAAATATGTTTAAAAACATGCTCGAGGCTCATTTGAATAGTTAATTAATCTTCTAACTATTGTGCCAGGTCCAGGGTGTGTGAAATTGCTTGAGAATTCTCTACAGATGACGACCTGTACTCTGGACTGTGCGGGCAACTACAGCTATCCTCATAATGCTCCTACCTGGAGTTCTGAGGATCACCACAGAAGTAACCAAGTAAGTAAATGTTCGTTTGTATTACCTTGAAGATAATGTATAATCGTCGACGAAGTTCGTATGCCGGTAAACGCATCAGCTGATGGAAGGAATCCTCAAACAGAGTTGGCCGGGAAACTAAAAATAAATCAATAATATTTCTCAGAAATATTTTGAAATAGGAAATATTTGAATCGGAAGTTTTTAGTGCCATTAAGTATTTTGTATCGTAGGAATTTTGTACCGGAAGTGTATTGAGCAGGGGTCTATATTTTCCTATTTGCCAATGAGCTATTGTTAAAGGGTTGGGGAAAAATAAAAAAACGGGGAAAGGGAAAAGGTAGGGGGAAAAGCAAAGCTTAGGATCCGGATCCGTTGGATCCGCAAGATTTTGGTTTCCTGGATCCGCAAAAATAGAGAATCCACGAATCCGGATCCAAGGGGCAAAATATCAACCCAAATCTGCCAAAAAAAAATTGTTACTCACAAAACCTAAATCTGAACAATTTAAAAAAAGAGATTTAAAAAATTTCCTGATTTCTGAATGTTTCATCAAGCTTTAGCATAAAAATAAGCGAAAAAAATAAGACAAAAAACTACATTGTACTTGAATCAAAATCTAAAAGTTTTCTCTGCAAGGGGGACTCTTTCGAGCTTGCGCGGGCTTTTTGTCACCTTGATAAAAAACCTATTTTATAATTGTGGTTTAAGGGAGAAAATGATTCAAAAAAGGGAGGGGGGGGGAAATAAAGATCACAGAACAAATAGAAACCCCTGAATTATTGAGATTGGAAGCCTCATGTGTCGGGAACAAATAAGCCAGTTTCGAACATCATAGAAGTCTATGTCATGTATTCTTTTTGAAATTAGCTGACAGCTGGAAAACTTTAGAGAACATTAATATCTCAGGTTAATGAGATAAAGATCCTTAAGTTTCAGTCTAACCAAAAACACTCAAGCTGTAACGTCTTTGTAAAGATCAACAAGACTTCAATTATTCACTGGTTGCCTTTTGGCCTCGACTTTATTAAAGTGGTCTGTGTAGTGTGCATCCTTCGATTTTTAGAAAATATGTTAAACAATTTTGAGAAGCGTTATATTGCGAGAACTGAGAGTGGGAAAATGTATTTAGTTTATACACAACAATACCTCAGTTGACAGAAGGGAACAATTAATTATTTTAGGATTAACACTTTAACAACTTGCATTGTTCAACTAATTTTAAAATTCGGTGATGGTGACCTTTGTAGAGTAAAAGAAAGTAGATGTTAGTTAGTTACACATTTATTGAAAGTATCTTTTTACATTTTACCATTATCTTAGCAAAAGAAGAATTCAATATTTTTTTCTAAAAATTTTACTTAAAATATGCTAAAATTTCACCATTGGACACATGCTTTTTCTATTAAACTAATTTGTGACTGAAAATATTCACCTGTAAGTTTGATATGGGAGGGTAAACCGTTGGATTGGCAGAGATATCGGAATTGGTTCAGCTTCCATCGGAACGAACGTTCGTACTGAGCCGGGACACCGTAGGCACCCTTCGGTCCTAAATCCAGTTCGTCAAAGCTAGAGGTTTTTTTATTGTGTTTGTTTTTATGTTCGATTTTAAGCTTGATTTTATGTTTGATTTCATGTTTGAGTTTATGATTGATTTCATGTTTGAATTATTGTTTGATTTATTTTCTAACTAAATCATCATGAAACCTTTTATAAATGGTTACTGCAAAAATTTTTTTTTGTCATTTTATCTTCATTTGCAACCTCTAGGTATAAAAAGGAAAAGTAAGTTTAAATTATTTGTAATAATATGTTTGAGATCATAATGATTTATTATCAGTTTTCCACCAAACAACACATAAATATATGAAATTTGCATTATCAAATTAAGAGAAACCTATTTTCTAAGAAAATTTTTTTTATTTGAGAACTAAAATTTGCTGGAATAAATTCTATGATGATAATATTGATTGATTAAACTAATTCATGGATGGATGGATGAATAGTTAAGATTGATGAATTGATTGATTTGTTATTTGATGGATTCATTCATTGGTGGATTAACTGATGGATTGATGAATTGTTCGATTGATTAATTGATTGATTGATTAATCGGTTGATTGATTAATTGATTGATTGATTAATCGGTTGATTGATTAATTAATTTAATGAATTGGTCGATTAATTAATTGATGGACTGATTAATTGATGCATTGATTTATTGATGGACTAATTAAAAGGCGAATTGAGAAATTGGTTGATTGATTAATTGATGAATTAATGTATTGGCTGATTGGTTAATTAATAGATTGATGAATTGTTCGATTGTTTAATTGATGGATTATTTAAATGGTTGATTCATTGATGGACTGATGAACTGTTCGATTAGTTAATTGATGGATTAATAAATTTGTTGGTTGATTCATTGATGGACTGATGAACTGTTCGATTAGTTAATTGATGGATTAATAAATTGGTTGGTTGATTAACTGATGGATTAATTAATTGGTTGATTGATTAACTGATGGATTAATTAATTGGTTGATTGATTAACTGATGGATTGAATAATCGGTTGATTGATTAACTGATGAATTGAGTAATTGGTGGGTTGATTAATTGACGAATTAATGAATTGGTTGATTGATTAATTGACGGATTAATGAATTGGTTGATTTATTAATTAATGGACTGATTAAAAGGTGAATTGATAAATTGGTTGGTTAATTATCTGACTGAGAGTTGATTGATAAATTGTTTAAGTTGAGATGATCGTTCGATTGATTGAATGATTTATTGATGGATAGATTGATGGATTGAATAACCTTGTTTAGTAGCTCCCGGCCTTGGATCATCAAACGTAGTTGTCCTTGTATTATGATCCACAAAATATCTAACTCCATCCTCCGTAAACCTTAATAAAAACAATTTATTATAAAATAAAATAAAATCTTTTGATGAATAAATGAAATTTGTAGATTAATGTGGTCTTAAGAGGGACAAAATTATACACATTCTTATTATTTACTCAAGGCTTTTCTGTAAATAAATCAGGGGTTTATATTTTTACCCCCCCCCCCCTTCTCCACCCTTTTTGAACGAGTTGAAAGAAGAGAAAAAGAAAGAAGTATATCCCGAAAATGGGGAAAAAAAAGGAAAATCAGTTTGAATTTTCTTGTCCAAAACTAGCCCAGAAAATCTTATTCAACGTTTTTTTGTTAAATTTAATTTCTAGGGACTGTCGTTGTAATTTCAAGTGACTCTCAATTTAAGAAGGGATGTGCTGTATCACTATGGTAGCCTTGAAACCTTAATCTGTCAATAATTTTGAAGATAACGTCATTTTTTAGCTTGAAAAGTTTTAAACTTTCACAATTTCTCCATTGTTTCTTAAGCAAGAAGTACGCAAGTCACTTTGAAGAGAAACCACAAATGGCATCTAATTCATACAAAGCTTTAAAGGGTACTATTGTGAGTCGGACATGCCACTCGATCAATGGAAGGTCTCTTAAAATAATGTCTACAGTCCCTTTGAAATCACCTCATCTCCCAACCATTAGGAAGAGGTTCTTCATGAAGCTGTCCCTGGGTCCGAGGATCCTCCCACTGTGTTGTCCGGTTCTTATGATTTACAAAATAAACTCGACCATTCGGTTCAACCCGCTTCTCCCAACCGTCCGGTAGAGGGCCTAGGGTATTATTATTATTGTTGTCATCATTCACAAATTGAAAAATCAGTTATTCATAATGTAATAATATCAGGAGAATCAGAATGTTAACTTAGTGGAACTGGTAAAAATATTATTACAAGACATATCGTAACTAAGGTTTACATAATTTGAACTGCCGCAAACAGTATGAAAGCAGGTGGAACAAAACGTTAGCAGCAGAAAACGTGATATGAGCATGTGATAACATGATGTGAGTAGGAGCTGTTTACCTAATGGATCATCCTCTGCTGTTCGCTGCTGATCTGGAAACAGGAATCTTTGATTCTTCATTTGCATTACTCGTGCTCGTTCTCCCTTAATATTAATATAAATTTTGAATCCTAATAAAAGAAAAATACTTTCAAAAAATTAGAAAAATTTATAAAAGGAAAAAAACAAAACTAAGTACAGAGCGTCCCATATCATATTAGATTATCTGTCAGCTATCTCAGCTATAACGCCAAAATATTCACGTAATGCTTGAAAAACTTAGAATTTTCTGCATGCAAATATTTATATTATGCTCATACATTTTTTTTCTGATTATCCCCGGAAATTGCCATTTAGAGCTATATACAATATGATGTGGGACACCCTGTGCATTATCAGGGATCTTTTATAACTCTGGTAGCGGAGCTAACAGCAGCCTCATAATAGAGATAGCTGTCAGATTCGGAGGAAATATTGACAAGTTCCGAAAATCCTTTAGCTGCACACATGCAGGCGCGACAGGTATGTTGCATTTGACACAGAAAACAAGAAGTTGAAAAGATAATGACCCCGTTTGTGTATTTTAGATTCAAATTGAACCAAGAAAAACAGAAGTCTAAATTGTCTTGAAAAATATCCTCCCCCCCCCCCCGTATAGTTTTTTTTTATATTTCATTCAGTATACTTATTCAATAAAGGTATGTGGGTAACAATCAATTGAAAAGGAGAAAAAAAATTTAAAGTTGTTGTTTCATCATTGAAACCCTTAAATTATTATTTGACCCAGGTCAGAAACTTTAAATCATTATTGAAAAGATCAAATTAATCATCAAAATGGAATAAATTTAATTAATTACAAAATCTAACCTGCCAGTTTGCCATCTGCTGTAGTCTATGTGTGTTTGGTCTCTGCCACGTGGTTTGCCTGTACAGTACAACACTTAACACCGGGTATTCATGTACATTGTACAATGTACACTGTAACAATAATAATACTGTGCTTAGGAACCGGATCCTTAAAAATATGCGGATCCAAGCGGCAAATATCAACCAAGACCAAAAATGTTGCTCTCTGAACACAAATAGAAATTAACTAGCAAGAGATTAATGAAACTTCCTAATCTCGGAAGGGTTCAATATTTTTCAGCATAAAAATAAGTGAGAAAAGAAGAAAAAAGTGTGATGAAAATTTTCCATTTGAAAAAAAAATCAGCAAATCTTAAAGAAATGTTTTAGACCTGAATCCCGATCCGGTGTTGTATCCGGAACTATTTTTTTCCAGGGCGAATCCCGGATCCGGATCCTCATAAGAATAAAATGGATACTAAGCAGGGTAATAATGTAACTTAATGTAGTTTTCTAAAACCTCAATTTTAAACTTTCAAAAAGCTGAAGGAAAAAAAATTAAGCTCAAAAAGTTTTCTTAAGTTTATGCCATCTTTTAGAAAAAACTTGAATGTAAATATAAAAAAAGAAAGAAAGAAAGGAAACACTTCGTGAAACCCCTATTCAGTCATGAAGGCTCTGTACCTTGCCAACTTTGGAATAATTTGTTTAAACATCAAGGTTTAAAAAGGTTAATTTTTTTAAGTTGTCAACGCTTGCTAAGGTATAAGCCAACTTTAACAAAAATGCAATCTTGAAATCAAACCATAATATTTTTATTTGAGAACAAGACCCTTATGCTTGATTAGATGCCAAACTTAAAGCTTCACCAACATGATATGCAATTTTTTTATGATCATACTTAAGGGATCAGATTGTAGAGTGGAATAAAAATCAGATTAAAAATAATAAAAGATTGGATAGGACTGGTTGATAACCTAATCCTACCCTACAAGCTTTATGGGCGGGTAACTAAAGAAACTGAGTTTTTGCCACAAACACTAATTTTTCAATCCCTCTTTGTTACATAATGTCGTAGACCTTAGTGAAAGATACCTAAAGATACAAACTATGAATTCTGGTAGATCTAATAGTCAAGTCTTGAAATATCAAAGGTTTAAACAATCAGCTTGCAAAGATATGGGATTTAGAAAATTTAAGTTTGCTGCAAAAACTCGTGTCCTTTTATTGATGATGTCATAAACTTTATAAAGGATATATAAATAAATGTATTGACTGTCCTAGTGTTATGATCAACATAGTAAACTCTAGATCTTTGATCTCTTCTCATCTCCCAGCCTGGTGGCAGGGGCTGGGGTCTCTCCCAGGTAGTTGATCTACATCATTATACAGTTCAAGATTAAGTTGATATACAACATCATACAGTTCAAGATTAAGCTGATCTACAACATCATACAGTTCAAGATTAAGCTGATCTACAACATCATACAGTTCAAGATTAAGCTGATCTACAACATCATACAGTTCAAGATTAAGTTGATATACAACATCATACAGTTCAAGATTAAGTTGATATACAACATTTTACAGTTCAAGATTAAGTTGATCTACAACATCATACAGTTCAAGATTAAGTTGATCTACAACATCATGCAGTTCAAGATTAAGTTGATCTACAACATCATGCAGTTCAAGATTAAGTTGATCTACATCATTATACAGTTCAAGATTAAGTTGATCTACATCATTATACAGTTCAAGATTAAGTTGATCTTCAGCATCATGCAGTTCAAGATTAAGTTGATCTACAACATCATACAGTTCAAGATTAAGCTGAAATACAACATCATACAGTTAAAGATTAAGCTGATATACAACATCATAGAGTTCAAGATTAAGCTGATATACAACATCATACAGTTCAAGATTAAGCTGATATACAACATCATACAGTTCAAGATTAAGCTGATATACAACATCATACAATTCAATATATTAGCAGGTGTATACATTTTCTTGAATACTAATTTTTTTCTAAATATTCCCGGGGAAAAGATGAAAAGGTTTTTTATCGTTGAATTTAGGAAAATAAATGATTTTTAAGGGAAAGTTAGTAATTATTTGAGAAGTAAATTTTAGGGTAAAAATTGATAAACCCTGGATAAAAATTCTAAATTTAACAGCTTTGAATATGACAGGGGCTAGCTAATCCTAAACACACAATAGTTCTAATCTTTAACAAAAAATATTACAAAAATAACAGAAATTTTTTTTACGCACTGTGTAAATAGACCTATAGTAAATAAAATTAGATAATAAAAGTTCCCGGATTGAAAAAGTTTTTTTCTGTTTCCCAACCGTCGAGGAAAGGATTCTTTAGTTCATTATGATTAAAATACAGAAATTATCCCTTTCTATGTTTCTTCTCTTATTCTTTTTTAGATGTTTCTAAGAAATAACATTTTGTATTGTTTATTTTCATTTAATTTATTTCTAATCTTGGTCCTAATTTATATAAAAAAATAAGGATTAAGTAAAATCGCGTGGTGAGTTGAAACTTTTAAAAGTAACAGTTCGGAAACAAGTTACAGGTTGGTTTTCTCTACACCAGTTTTTAAACATAGAGTTAAACGCTTTAAAACAAAATCTTCACATTTCAAATGATAAAAAAACCGTGCAATTGAAGAACATTTTTAGTGAACAAATTGATGAAATTAAAGTTTTGTTTTTAATTTTTTAAGATCTTACCTTGTATTATGATCTACATAGTATTTGCGTCCGTAAGAGTCAAATCTCATCTCCCATCCTGGAGGAAGAGGTTCCTCTGGTACAGGAGCTCCTACTACTCCTGGAGCTCCAGGTACTGCTCCCCCCGCCACTGCAACTGTACCTCCAGGTGTTCCTTAGAAAAGAGATTTCTTACATCAAATTCACGCTGTTCATTTTAATTCTTACACCTTTGTTGAATTATATCCAATAAACGCCGAAACGGCTAATATGATCCCAAAGGGATGTTTATTTATAGCATTCTTAGTATTTTTTAAAAATTGCTTGATATTTGGAAATCAACAATCAGAACAAAAAAAGTTGATTTACACAGTTCACCCACAAAAAGCAAGATTTTACTAGAAATATGGGCGATTAAATCCTATTCAATTGTACTCGGCTTTTAGGGCGCTCATTGGATTTTTTCAGGAAAATATTCACCTCTGGCGTACTAAAAAATGTTGCGGATATGTCTTTTTTAATTGGTGGATTTTCAACAATCGAAACAGTCAAGATTTTTTATATGCACAATTTTTCAATTTCCACGTTCACGTCCATAATCATTTCCTGGATATTATTATCATTGGATAAAAAGAAGCAAACAAACAAACAAGCCAAATTTGTATAGAACCAATTTAAAATTCAAATACACAAATTTCTTAGCTTCTTTATTTCTTACTTCTGTTCAGGATGTACCGTATAATCAGTTAAACCTAATTGTGTGGGGTGTGGACTATTGTGGATGCATACTTGGTATTGCGGAATGCGGATGCATACTTGATGCGTCCTATCAGTATTGTGGATATATGTATAGTACTTAAGAGTCCTACTGGTATAATGTGCCCTAATGGTGTTGACTATTGTGGATGCATATTGCATACCTGATGCAACCTACGGCTGATCAGGTTGTCTATCTGATGCAACCTACGGCTGATCAGGTTGTCTACCTGATGCAACCTACGGCTGATGAGGTTGTCTACCTGATGCGTCCTGCCGCTGTTATAGACGTATATTGCATACCTGATGCGTCCTGTGACTGTGGTGGATGTATACCTGATGTGTCCTGCAGTTGTGGTGGATGTATATCTGATGCGTTCTGCCGCTGTTATGGTTATGGTTATGTTATGATACGTAATGAGGTTGTTGTGGATGTACATCTGAAGGGTCCTGTGCTGCGGTTGTGGTGAATATATACCTAAGTCCTGTGATTTATGTGGATGTATACCTGATGCATCATTTGATTGTGATGGATGTATACCTGATGCGTCCTGTGATTGTGGTGGATGTACACCTTAAGTGTCCTACGGTTGTGGTGGATGCATACCTGATGCGTCCTGCTACTGTTATGGAAATATACCTGAAGCGTCCTGCTCCTGTTATTGATATATACCTGATGCGTCCTGTGATTGTGGTGGATATATACCTGATGCGTCCTGCGGTTGTGGTGGATATATACCTGATGCGTCCTGCGGTTGTTGTGGATGTATACCCTGAGATGGTTGAGAAACCATGGATCTCTGAATATCTGATATAGGAGGTAAGTTGAGGTGTCGGGATCCGGAGGAATGGTTTTCAGGGACCTAATTTTACAAGATGAAATTAATATTAAAGCGACATTAAATTAAACGTAATTTCAAGTAAATCTCCATGCAAAGATGGCAATGCCCGAGTTACAACGGTACCCTTAAAACATTTGTTTGATCAAGTATATATTAGATATCAATGTTTTGCGCAAAAACTCACAATAATGAACAATTTTTTAGTATAAACAACGACCACAACTTCTACATTTTTGATTAGGTTGAAGTTTCAAGGGTTCCGTTGTAAATCAGGCTTTACCATCTTTGCATGGAGGGTAACTTGAAATTACACTTACAGTCCCTTTAAGTTGTAGAAAGGATTATTTAGTAAATCTATTTCATTATCAATTCAAGAAACCATTTAATTTGATTCACAACATCATTGACAAACAAATATCGTCGTTTTTCTTCAGAAAAGTAATTTGCGGATGTGTAAGTGTTGACGAGCATAAAAATGACCAAGCCCTAACTGAAAACTATTATTTTCAGGCGGGATTTAGCGATCAATCAAGGACCAGTTCAGATTTCGAGTTTTTTCCTTAAATACTTCGATCTTTCGATTGGTTTAAAATGCATAAATCTATTTGGAATCCAAATAGATTTATTCATTTTTTGGATCTAAAAAAATTATCTAGACAAAGGTGGGATGAGGGCTATGTTATAAATCTTCTATATAATAAGCTCTTCGCTCATATATATATATTTATATGTATCTGTTTTTTTGATTGAATAATAAATTGACTATATTTATATATGTATATGTTAGCTATGGCTTGACCAAATGGGCTGACATTTTTGAGGGAACCCATGGGTATCCAGGGGGTAACAAAGGATGAAACAATTGGCAATTTTTTCTTCTTCAATTTTTTTTTAATTCCACGGGCATCGCCAGGTACTTTAGCTAGTAATATTATATGCTAGCTGTCTAAATCTGTTTATTAATTGTAAGAAGCATATTTCATAATTAACTATTGCTGCTCGGTATGATATAAATATTCTTTGTTTGGAAATAAATCCTAAATGATAAGAATATCTCGGAGAAATTGCGTTCAGTGACCACGTCTGATGGAGATAAGAATTAAATATAGGACGGGGAGGTCAGGGAGGGTGATACTGTACAAGGAGGGGGACGCTACAAACCAGGTGGGGGTTGGTGGGGAGGGGGGAGAGTAATGCATGAGCATACAAAGAATAAAGGGGTGAGGACTGGGGGTATAGACATTTTAAGAATATGAGGTTAATTTTCAATATAAATAATTATATATATATTATATTTATTGCATATTGGCCAGGAGGACGCTCGTATCCACACTATGGAGAGGAGGGGGCGGGGGTCATAGATCAGCATATAAAGAATAAAGAGCCCCCCCTGCTGAGAACATTGAGTAGAAAAGAAAGGAAGGGAACATATTAAATAAGGATTTGGGGGGTATGAAGGAAAGGGTTGGGGGGGGGGGGAGCCTACATACTTGAGAAGAATATGGAGTGGGAAGGGGAGGTAGTTGACCATTGCTAGCAGCAGTATGATTCCCAGCCGAAGATAAACTGCTTCCACCAGATCTGAAATAAAGGTTTTGAATCAAACTTTGTGAGATCATATTTCAGTTTACTTTTTACAAACATTACAAGCATCTATGCAAAAATTTATAAACCCGTAAGATGACAATTTTCATAAGAAAAAAAGTGAAGTGGAGGGTACTTAAAAAATGACGTATACAATTCTTTCTAAAAAGCTATTTACACAATAACTGAGGAAACGATGTAGTTTTCAGTAACATTCAATTCATAATTGGGTGGTTTGTCTGATTTCTACACAAAACGACGATGTCCCCGATATTATTGACCAGACCAAGGTCTAAAGGGTAACATTGTGAATCGGGCAGGTCATTCTATAAATGAAGAGTAATTCAACATCTAAAAAAAAAGTTCCTTGAAAATAATCGTTGCAATCTTTTTAAAAAGTTTTTCTCTAGATTCTTATACCCACCCCCCCTCCCCCACATGAAAAAAGGTTCCAACCTGCTTTTACAAATAGCTGGTAGTTTAGATCTAGGGTTAACAACAGGATTATCGCTGGGGGCGGACTGACTCCTCCCCCCTTCACAGTCTTCATCATCTCTGAACAGAAAATTTAAGAATGAAAATACGGCACAGAACAGGATCGATTTATTTTTTGCACATGATAATTATTACTGCGAGTGTCTCAATTTCTTCTTCTAAACAAGAAATGCACAAGTCACTTGTTCAGACAAAGCTTTTAAGGGTACCGTTGTAAAACTGGCATTGCCATCTTTTAATGAAGGGTCACTTAAAATTATGCTTACAGTCCCTTTTAAAAAATTCTGAACGGTCGTCTCTAAAATCTCATTCTTTGTGGTTAACACTGTTTTTATCTTTATTGTTTATAACTCAGCTTTGAAAGATAAAGATAAAAGTAAAATTTCAAAACTGCGTCACGCCAAATAATAGTGAATTTTATATCCGAACACCGTAGCTATTTTTATATACTTTGCTCGTCTGTCTGTTTGTTTGTGTCCAATTTTCGTCAAAACGACTGGACCGATCGGGCCAAATCTTTTTGTAGTAACTCAAATGACCACAGGAAATGTTTATGGATGGAAAATTTGCCTGGGAATGAATGTCTACATTTTTCATTTTGAACATTAAACTCCTCAAAATTTTTGTTGATTGTCGAGTGCGATGAATAATTCTTATGAATAGATCTAGGAAGCTTTTATGAGGGAAAAATTATGAGGATGACGGTATTTTGGGCGAACTTTATTAAAAAGAAAGTAATATAAGTGAGAGAACAGGGTCGGGATTTGTGTTGTTAGTCGTTTTGGATAATCTTGTTAATAACGTTGAACAAAAGTCCCAAATTAAAAAAAAAACTGTATTCTGAAGTATGCTTATATAAAGCTTAGCAAGATTTTAACCTAAAAAATGGGAAAACAAACCAAAAACGTTTTTTCATATATTTTCTGTCAGGGTCGATATTTGGCAAAGCTTAGTCGAGCAAATGTTTGGAACTAACAACCTAAATCAAATTTGCTTTCTTCTGTACCAAATTTTGACCAAAAGGATGCTAGTCGGGATTTGTTTACAAACGATCTGAAGTGATCACTGTGATTTATTTACCTTTCCTTCCGAATTAATTATTTTTTTTCTCAAAGAATTTAGACCGACCTGTGAGCTGGTGAAGGTATTGGACTAGTTGAAGTTGAGAAGGAGGTTAGATTTGATTCCTCCGGACTAGAGTGGACTGTATGGGTTGGAGGACCTGGACTCATGGGTCCATATAATTCCATTTCTGATCACAATGGGATCGGGGTTGAATGTACAGGGTGTCCCACAATATATTAGATCATTTTTAGTTCTAAATTGAGATTAAAGGAACTAATCAGAAAATTTTAAAAAAATCATTTTGCAGAAAATACCAGGTACGTTTTTTTAAACTTCATGAAAATACACTTTCTATGTCATTGTGAACTTTGACGTAGTTTTTTTTTGTGTGTGCATGTACGTCACTTCAAATATGTGTACTGCATTTGGGGTGTTGAATAAAAGATTATTAATTGTGATAAACACTTCCTAGCAATCTAAATTTTTCAGTATGGAATTTTTGTACACTTGACATCATACTTCCAATTGTTTACATGATTAATTTCTGCCCCTAATATCAAGCAATCAACATTTGGGATCGTATTAAAGGGAATTATATGGACCCCTGCCTGGACTTCGAGCTAGATTATCCATATTTACATGAACCCCGCTCAGCTTCATGAACAGAATACCAACATTAACCTCGCTACTGCTCGTCACGTTCTTGTCACGTGACTTGAGGTCCAGGGCGAGCTCGAAATTATCACATTTCCCATTATTCTGCTTTAATACAGAATACAGGTCTAACGAACAATTTCCTTTAAATAAATATAAATGAGAAACATTTTTATTTTAGGTCGTGTTAAAATAAAAATAAAATAAATTTTACCGAAAAAAAATAATTTTTTGCAGAAAAAGTTATAAAGCTCTATTTTATGTCGTATGAAAATAAAAATATAACTAACTAAAAATAAAATGAAAATAAAAAAATCTAACGAAAAAAATTTATTTTCTGCAGAGAAAGTTAGTTATAAGGCAACGATTGAGCTATTAAGCAAATGACAAAATTTAAGACTCGCTTCGTCAAAATTTGACCCTCTGATAGTGAATACGAACTTAAAATTTTATGTATTTTCTTTAAAGTTTATGAAGTTTATTAATTAAAAAACCATTGAAAATTTTCTACCTTATTTTCATGTTATATATTATGTAGAACTAAAAAGAAACAGATTTATGTAACAAACCATGCAGCTGTAAGGATATTAAATTAAGGATAGTTTCCTAAAAATGGGATTTCTGGATCACCTCCCTTTGCTATCTTTTTTGTAAACGAAATATATCGTACAAAATACAAGTTCAGCAAATAATCAAAAGTTTAATATAATTTCCACAACTAATATTAAGTTCATCTATAAAATTTGCTACACTGGGGCCTAGCCGCAGCGCTTAGTAGAAAAATGGGGCAGGGTTCTAAGGTATATACTTGGAACTGGGTTCTAAGGTATATACTTGGAGCTGGGTTCTAAGGTATATACTTGGAACTGGGTTCTAAGATATATGCTTGGAACTGGGTTCTAAGGTATACAATTGGAACTGGGTTTTAAGGTATATACTTGGAACTGGGTTTTAAGGTATATACTTGGAACTGGGTTTTAAGGTGTTTACTTGGAACTGGGTTCTAAGGTGTATACTTGGAACTGGGTTCTAAGGTATATACTTGGAACTGGGTTTTAAGGTGTTTACTTGGAACTGGGTTCTAAGGTGTATACTTGGAACTGGGTTCTAAGGTATATACGTGGAACTGGGTTCTAAGGTATATACTTGGAACTGGGTTCAAAGGTGTATACTTGGAACTGGGTTTTAAGGTATATACTTGGAACTAGGTTCTAAGGTGTATACTTGGAACTGAGCCAAATTAAAAATCTCACCTAGCAATGAATCTTTCTTAAAAGTGCTGTGATTATATACTCTAAACACTAGTTTACTGTACGCCGTCACAATCACAGATATCTCAGCCTGCCATTTTGGGTGATAAGAACTTTTATATATTTCAGTCTTTTTCGGCGGTTTACCGTCGACGATTATCTCTACATAAGGATCTGGTTTAAGCAGTCCTGTCGTGTTTAAGTCTGCGTGATCTAAGGTGACCGCCAACTGCATATAGCTGGAGGCTAAATGGGGAACTAATCCATTAGAAGCAGCCATTCTCAGCTTACGATCATTTAACGATCAAATCATAACCAAATCATGAAAGAGTATTGCTGTAAATCTTAAAATACAAACAATTTATTTCATCTGAAAAAAACACACATTTATTTTATGGTATTAATGGGGGGTCTGTCGTAGTATACGATTTTAGGACCCCCCTCCCCCCCTTCTATCAATTTTGTACATGACCATTTATTTTTCAGCAAATTTATTATTATTTATTTTTTTTGTTATTTAGGAGACAATTTCTGGGCCGAGCACGGAGCACATAGGACTAAGAAAGGTTAGGGGACCGAGCACCGCGACTAGGACAGACTAGGGGGCCGACCGCCGTGGCTAGGATAGGATAGGGGGCCGGGCACCGCGGCCACATGACCAATAATATCATGTGATACATATGAGATCAATGTACAAAATTGATAGGAGGGGAAAGGGAGGGGGGGTCCGAATATAGTTCTCTAGGAAATTTTCAAAGTTTCAAAACAAAAAAAGTTTTAATGTTCAATTCACTGCATTATAATCTATTCTAGTTTGTTAAACTGTTTCCCTACTGTTTCGTCAATGTCTGTGAAGAATCTGATTGAAATTTGGAAGCGCCGAATGCCCCGTAGCATATTTTTGTTATCTCTTACCGAAGACGATATTTAAAGACATGGACATTTTGTTTCAATATGAAGGAGCTAGGGGGAAGGCGAACTACAACAATTCCTAGTCCGAGCCACATTCTCTTCATTTTCTCGTCCGAGCCACCTCGAAATCCTCGTCCTTATATAAATATTCTTTTTATATGTCCAACCCATAAAGATGAGAATATTTTTTTGAAAATCTGGCCACATTAGGGCGTACAACATATATAGTTAGACTAAAGGTTTGCAATGATTTTATAATGTCGGAATCTTCTAATTCTAAGAAGGATGTCAAACTTTATTTAGGTTAAAACTTTAACCTCTTCTGCCTCCAAAATGGCTAACTTTCATAATTCAAAAATTATATCAAAGTATTAACTTGAACATGGTCTATAATCTTTTCCCCAGTAAACAATTTTGGAGAAACAAAAATTCCAGGTTTTATAGGTGGATTTTATTTCTAGAACACTGTTTTATCTCAAAAAAAAAAAAACTAGAAACCCTGTGCACTTTTTAATTTTTCAATTAAAAATAGATTATACGATATTTCTTTGATGTTCTTTATGTTTCAAGAAAAAATTAATACATATTATTTGATCGTTCAGGCGCGCAACTAGACATTTGGTTAGAGGGGGGCAAGGGGAAAATTTTTTTGGCCCCCCCTAAACATTTTTAGGGGGGGGGGGCAAGAAAAATGTGTGTTATACTTAAACAATAAAAAACTAACCTTACCAACCGGATATTCAGTTAAAAGTCTGATATAAAATGAAACAAGAAATCTATTCTGGTCAGGGGCGGATACAGGGGAGGGNACCAGCTTGGTGACATGAGCACAGGTTCTCTGGGGTTCTAGGGAGCATTCTTCCTTGGGGGCATCCTGGACAACAGTCTGTGTTTTGTCAAAGCATTCCTCAGCTCCCTCCTTGAACCCACATCCTGCAGGGGCACACAACTCCCTAGGCTCCTTGGTACATCCAGTGATAGGGGTATACTTCTGCACTTTCTTCTTGGTAACCTTGCATTCTTCTCTAGGCCACTTGGAGCACTTGGTGAGAGTGGTGTATCCAGAGGTTTCATCAGCACACTTCTCATCCTGGATGGTTTCACACTCAACGACATCATCTTCAACATCATGAACTTCTTGCTTGGTCCAGGACTCTGATTCATACTCAGTTCTGCAGATTTCAGGTCCCTGGACATCACAGTCCTTCACCAGTGGAGTTCTGCATACTTGAACAGTCTCATTGAAGGCAATCTTCTCTTAGTTGATGAAACACTTCTTTCTGAAGTTTTCCTCGCACTCCTCCTCCTGCTGGGACTCGTAATTGGTGACATAGGTGGTGTGACACCTTCTGTCGTAGGAATGGTCACACTGGACAACTTCATCATATTCAGTCTCCTCAACCATCTCAACCTTGTCAATACATCTTTTGCCATCAGCTCCAGGACTTGAAGCAGCAACAGCAGGGAAGCTAACATCTGTTTTAGTGTTCCCTTGACGATTACCACTGGGGGGAGCAACACTTTCAGATGAAAGAACAAGAGCAGGTACTTCTATTGATTTATGAATAAGGGTGTCAATATGTTCATGAGCAAAATCTACTTGAGGGTTGAAGGGGAATGTATTGATCTGACCTCTCAAAAGCTGGACAGCCTCAGAGCCTCCTACAACCAAAAATAACAGAACCTATTGCAGATCAATGATTAGACAAATTAAAAAAATTATAAGGGCAATATGACACCTGTAACGTTATTCAGTAAATCGCAAGGAAATATTTTTAACCATGCTGATTTGTAATTCTTGCATTTGCCGGTGCAACATGTTTAAAAACTACTTATTAAAAACAATAAAAACATTATAATATGAAATTTTTGCAATGACACATGGATTTAAATATGCATGCACATTACAAAAAGGTGTTTTTTTGTATTCAACAATTTTAATTTAAACCCGGTATTCTGAAAACTTTTAAACAGGTCCATGGTATATCCAGCTCTTTACAGAGGAATGTCATTTATTCTCTTAGGGCTGGGCATGTTCCAACCTTATCTAGCTGTTCTGTTAACGGCTAGTTCCAACTGTTAAAAAAGACAAATTACAGTTAGGCGTTAATTTTAAAAGTAAAAACAGAAAGTTTTATTCATTAACCGCATTTTCCATTTAAAAAAAAATACGGTTACATAACAATCTGAAATTTATTAACCACTTTAACAGAAAATTTTCAACAACCGTTAAGAGCTCTAGCTGTTAATGTTACTGTTTTCACAAAGTTAACAGTGTTAACGAAAACATTTCACTAACTGTTAATATTGCAGTATCAACGGCGTTAACAGCATTAACGGCGAAAAAAATTCATTAACTGTTAATAAAAACAGAAGACAGCATATAAAAACATCAAAATATGTAAGATTTTAAAAGAATTTAAAAACTAGTTTCATGCAATTTTAATCAGAAAAAACGAAATTAATTGTTTTTAGATTTTTCGTCAAAGTTTTTAACTGTTATTTTTTTCAAAAACAGCTAATTTGTTTTGATAAGGATTTAAATATAAACAGGTTTTGCAGTTTGTTAACGGACTCTTCCGTTAATTTTTGAAAACCTTTATTTCTTTAAAGGAACTTTTCCAGCTGTACTTGAAAGTTTGAACCAATGAAAATTTAAAACCTGAAGGGATCAATGATAAACCATAGCCCATGGGTTTATCATTGAATGATACATTTATTAAAGATAAAATACCTGAACTGCGTATTGCATTGTAAGTGTGATGTTATGAGCCTACAAGTGTGTACGAGTACTGCTCAGTGCTCACATTCAACTGACCTAACATCTGTTTTGACAATTTTATATACCCATAGCTTCATCTCTTGACGCATTTAAATTACTAAAATGCAAAAATTTGCAGAGGTGTAATGTGTGAGTAAAATAAATGTTGTCATTTTAGAATTGAGCAAGGGGAATATTTAAGTGCATTCAAACCTAAAGAATATTGCATTAAAATTAAGATCAAAATCAATTAAATATTATAACATTATTAAGAAGTTACCCGAGTAACAATGGGAATTCGCGGAAATTCCCAGGAATCATTCGCAGGAAATTCTGGTGAAAATGTCGACAGCTATTCCGAGGAATTTCTCGTAACCCATTCCGAGGAACCAGGTCTGAGGAATTTCTTGTAACCCATTCCTCGGAAATTCTCATAACACTATCCAAGGAATTTCTTGTCACCAATTCCAGGGAATTTCTTGTTACCAATACTGCAGAAAATGTCCTCAACATTTGTGGAAATTCTTGGGAATTTCCAGCAAAAAGTTCTTCAGAACCCATTCCTGGGAATTTCCTGGGAACTATTCCCAAGATTTTCTCAAGAGTTCCTCAGGAATATCTTGTAATATTCTCATCATATTTCCGAGTAAATTCACTAACCAGGACATAGGCCCAATAGTAGTGAACAACTAAACAACTATATATTGCCCCTCCAACTTTTTAGAAGTATAACCATCAGAATGTTATAGTCGTTTTTGATCTTACTAAAGTTGTCATGTATTTTGTTTATTCTGACAACAGAATTGTAAAGAAAAAATTAAAAAAATGAAAAAAAATGAAATTTTTTTTGTTTAAAGATGGTTCTAAAGTAAATTATCATTTTTTATCAAAAAGGATGCAAAGAAAAAAAGATTTAGTTAGGGCAGTGCATAATAGAAGAGAACCTCAGAGACACCTATTGGAGAAAAACGGAACTTGAAAATTCTTAGGAATTTCTTGAGAGAAATTCCAGAGAAATTCTCAGGAATTTCTCGAAACTTATTCTCTTATTTAATTCCCCTAAAAATCCGTAAACTTGGTGACCAAGTCCTAAGAATTTCTCAGGAATTTCCAGAGAAGCATTCAGGGGAATTTCTAAGAATTTTCTCGGGGTGAGATTCCGGAAAAATTCCCAGGAATTTCTTGAAACTAATACTTTTTTTAAGTTCCCCTCAAAATCCGTAAACATGGTGACCAAGTCCTAAGAATTTCTCAGGAATTTCCGGAGAATTAATCAGGAGAAATTCTCAGGATTTTCTTGGGGTGAAATTCCAGAGAAATTCCCAGGAATTTCTCGAAACTAATTCTCCTAATAAATTCCCCTAAAAATCCGTAAACGTGGTGACCAAGTCCCAAGAATTTCTCAGGAATTTCTGGAGAAGTATTCCAGAGAAATTCTGAGGAATTTTGTGGGGAAAAATTCCTGGGAATTTCTCCCCAATTCAGAAAGAAAGCTTGAAAAACAGTCTTTCATTGGTCGACCCAGAACCAATCCTGACTTGGGTTCTATCTAAGCCCGAGTTTGGGGTTTACTCGGGTTTAAGCTTTTGAGATCTCATCAGGAATAACATATTCTTCAAGATTGGAGTTAATACAAAGAAACAACTTGTACCACATTTTTAAACTTGCTTGATAAAATATTAAAATTTTTTTTTACATTTTCGCCTAATAATTACTGATCGTTTTATCTTTATTGCACTTTAGGATCATGAAAGAAAAAAATCTATTTCATGAGATCCCATTTGTGATTGGAGTTCTATTTTTTTAATAGATGAGTTTTATAAAAAAAAAATTAGCGAGGTCAAAACGACAAATGAGCCTAGCATATAACTCAATAATTTTAATTATTATGATCTGTTGGATGTAGACTGACAAGTTACTAGTTACAAGTAGGGCTAGTCGTTCATTGGGAAAATAGTTTTTTTTTCACAGGAATAAAAGGAACAAACATAGATTAATTATAAAAACTGATTTGACGCTAGATGTCGTCTTTTCAAGATCAAGATTCTACAAAGAGAGAACCTGTTCTACACCGATTGTGCATAACTCCTTATGGCTTCTGACTCATGGTTATTGTGAACAAAATACACATAAATTTTGTTTCCTAGAAACGCCCGACAGCCCTTAAGCTAAACGCCATTACGTTCGTCCCTGTGAAAAAAACAAACTATTGTTCCTAGGAATGACACCCAGCCCTACATGTAACTTGTCAGTGTGCATCCAACAGATCATAATAGTTAAAGTTATAGAGTTAAATGTTAGGCTATATTTGTCTCAAAAATGACTGTTATTTACCTTCTGAACACAAACTTTTTTTTTATAAAACTCATCTATTTAATAAAGCAAGACATTCGTATATTTGTTGCCTATAGTCGGCCAAACGGCTGGACCGAATGGGCTGACATTTTTAGTGGACACTAATTGGGAGCCTGGGAGTGTCTTAGACAAAAAATGTTGAAAATTTTTTTCTTCTACACTTAGATTTTTTTTATTTCTCCACGGGCAACGCCGGGCGCTCCAGCTGGACTATTATATATTAGAAACCCAATCCCAAATGGGATTTCTTCCACAAACTATTAAAAAAAGTAACACCATGCCCAGCTCTGGTTACGGGTTTTTCTTCTTGCTGTGGATGATCAAAATTTTTAATTGGTAAATTAGAAAAACTTTTCAAAAATATTTAAGGATGACTCTCCAAATTACATTATCGTTAAATTTTATTCAATCATTAAATGTACATATTGCATTCTTTATAATCATTTTTAAATACTGATGTCCATGCCCATTAAATTGTAAATACCAATACGTTCATGTTTTTTTTTTAAAATATCCAATCTGTTGATTCTAAGCTCAGCATATTTTTTTAGTTCTCCACACAAGATACAAATGACAGGCTTGCACAAGGAGGGAGGGAACCCCCGGACGCTGTGAGCCTCTGCTATGCAGAAAAAAGCCTCCCAAATTTGCAAGGCAGACCGATCCTCCGCCATGCAGTAAGAACCTCTACTGTACAGAAAACGAGCCTCCATGCTCTACAGAACAGTTTCATTAATATTCTTTGTTTTTAAATGTAGTAGTGATTTTTTATACTTTTTTCGAAATAGTGGCGTACAAAGTTGATATTTCATACAAAGTTTATCAAATATCAGAAATATTAATCAATTAATATAAATAGTGACTTATAATTTTAAGTATAGTTAAGCTTTAAACATTTTTTTGCGCAAAAAGGAAAACATTTAGAGAAAAAATTTTGGAAGTAATTTTATTTGATATTTCATATTCTTTGATTTAAGCAATATCTTTTTTTGAAATTTTAATCAGATTAAGATAATAAAAAATTTGACATTGACAAATAATCTGAATCTAAAAAACTTTTCAAAAAAGGTTTTGCTTAAATCAAAGATTAAAACAAAATAAAAAAGTTTAATCAAGAAATTAATTTCCTGACAGCCTCCACAGCTAAGAAATGTTTTATTGTAGAACATAAAATCTTATAAACCACTTTATTAGTCAATTGATTATGAGTTACAAATCATGACAATCAATAAATAACATTAATCTTAAGTAAAATTCTTGTGCCATTATGGATGTTACATGTAAAAACCAAGAGTTATTAGGAAGCTATGCTGTATAGCCAGGGAGCAAGAATAAAGGGAAAAGAAATGGCACTGGTCTGGCATCTGAAAGCCAGTCGCACTGCTTTGCAGACAGGTTCCTTATTTTTAGCGCATGAAACACTCAGCTATTTAAACCCTACAGTCAAGGTAGGCGCAGAACAATGTTATCAATTATAATTTAGCTTGAATAATGAGTAGTTTATTGTAAACTTTTAACAAATTATATTATTGCATGAAAATTTTACTAATGTTGACTTAAGTATATAAATCTGCCTAGAAAATCTGGGAGGCTTGTGTCTGCTTGGCGGAGGCTCATGGCATCCAAGGTTCCCTCCCTCGCACAAGCAGATGAATACCATGGATAAAGGTTATAATGCAAGGAAAGTTATTTCAGAGGTGTACTGTCTCTAGGCAGTAATGCAAACACTAGACGGATGTTACAGCCTGACATGAGCGCCATCTTTCACATAAAAAAAATCAATGAAATATTCTGGCCAGAAAACTATTATGTGAATTATCAAAATTTTCGAAATTCAATGCTTTTATCCTCCTCGGATACTATACGAACACTGATGCAACGGTTCTTGTTTACAAATTCCGCCCAGAGAGAACTTGTTTCAATATGTACGCAGAGTATACGCAGCTGCAATTAACTTTCCTTGCATTATAACCTTGCCATGGATGATCGAAACCCACTTGATCGAAATTCAAGTGTAGATCAAAAAATGTTGTACATTGTGTACATATGCATTCTCAGACACTTATTCAAAATAAGCAAATATGTACTATTGTAGCGTACTGCAATGGTAATGTTGAAAGTGGGAATAAAGGTAAACAAGGAAGATTAACCAGGAACCCGGATATAAAATTGTTAATAAAAAAGGAACGCTACAATTTCTGGGAGAAAATAAACATCTATGTCTTTCTCTCCATAAACTGCCGTTCTGTACACCTTACACTATTTATTTGAACAAAAGGGGGGTTTAGACTTTAGGGTGTATCTTCCGAATCTATGCAAAGAAATCACGAGGAAAAATGTTTCTGGAAAAAAACCTGGAAATAAAAAACTCCCAATTTTCTGAAGTCTTAGGACAAAACCTCTCTGGATATAAAAATAGATTCCCGAGACTTTTTTCTAAAAAATATATGGGCTGCCAATAAAGTCTAGGAAATAAGGTCACAGAAATTAAAGTCTTTAAAAGTAAAAAAGTCCTATCTTGGGAAAGCGAGGTTAAGTCTTCATAAAACGGACTTTTGTTCTATGCATCTGCATATTGAATATACACACAGGTGTTTTTAATATCAAGTCTTTTTTTCCATGGTTGTAAATATCCTTTGTTTTCATTAATTTTTTCCCGGGACTTTTTTAATTCAATTTTGCCTAATAAGATTGTTTTTCATATTTAAATCCTTCACACTGTTTGATTATTTAACATTAGTTTTGAATAGTTTATTTGTGCAGCCAGCAATATCAAATATTCTTAACACACCATCCACTTGGTTCTTGAATTCAAAGAATTTGAGTCGCGGTTCAAATATGGTTTGTTCCAATTAAAATTGTATTTAATGTTTTAAGATTTTAGCTGGCGTTCAATTGAAACCGTTTTTTGGCGGATTCGAGACCCAGCTCAAATTTATTAAATTCAACTCTGAACTATCATATAAAGAAATAAACTTAGAGCCAATTGTTAAAAGAAACAAATAATCATATCATATATATAAGGCCAAGATTATAACATAATAGCTGAAGTGCCCGATTTTTTTGCCTATGTTACTCCTATAGGGCTGGGCGCGTTCCTGGTGGAACAATCGTTCTTTCCCGAGAACGAACAGAACGATCAAGAACGATCCCATCGTTTCGAAAAAACCGAACGCTTAGAACGCATTCTTAAAAATATTGGAACGATTAGTTAAAGAACGGAACAGAACAGAACGGGAATTGCTTGAAAAGAACGGTTAAAATCGTTAACATGTTCTAAGTTGGAAACGCATTTAAAATCAGGAATGTGTTCTTAAAGTAAATAAAAGATTTTTTTGATTTGATCACCTGAACCCACCCCCCACCTCCCCCCGCTCTCACAAAATTATAAATTATCTAAGCTTATGATTTTAACCCTAAATTCAAAATATATAATTTAAATTATATTTACAGCGAGGAACTTTTTATTTTAAAATCATATTTTTTTTACTTTTTAACCAACTCTTCTCTATAAAACTTTTGTCTTGGATGGAATTGTTCTTAACTAAAAACAACGAGGGATGGAAACGTTCTTTGACTAAGAACGGAACGAGAGGGATGGAACCGTTCTTTAAATAAGAACGCCAAGAACAGAATGGAACGGGAAGGGGACGGAATGGAACGAGAACGGAACGATAAAAAGGAACAAGAACGGAACGATTTAGCTGAAGGCCCTTGTTCTAGAACGGAAAGGAACGATTCAAAAAAATTCGGAAAGTACCCAGCCCTAGTTACTCCTGGGCACCCACGGGTTCCCTCAAGAAATTTCAGCCTATTCAAATATTCATATTTACAAATATATATGAGCGAAGATCTTTTTTATAAAATCTAATACTAGATTTTAAACACGTCTTCACACAACATTCATCGACCATCTGTAACAATCAATATAGTTTCAGAAGAAGTAAATATTTCCATTTACTGATAGCGCCGATTGAAGGATTCATATCTCTAATTGGATAATGTGAGAGATAGAAAGATAGATGTAATCTATTGTCAATGGTCTAAATCAAGAAAAGTTGATAATTCATGAACAGAGCAAGCAGTTTCGGAATGGAACAATTCAGAAAGGAGCTGGGGTTACCATAAAAATTTAAATTAAACAGCCTTTAAAAATCACTAATGTGCCCAGTCCTATTGATGCCAGATACTACAGAAAACCAATTTTATCCTTTCACGAGTAAACTCTAATATTAAATTGTAACTGATTTATGCCTTACCATGACTTATGATGACCAAATAATGATTAATACTAATTTCTGATAATTGATTTTTTTCAAAAGTCTTTAAATGTTTAAAGACAAAACTGGATGGAAACCATTTTACATCTATCTGAAATTTAATTAGTCTATTGCAGGCAAAAACTATTATTTTTAATTTTTCACCATGTTCTAATAATTCTAAATTTTACAAAATATTGTTTGATTCAGAGAAGATTTATCTGTTTTCTGAGAAATTCATATTTCTAGCCTATAACCAAGCTTAGTGCATAAAAGTAAAAACAGTATTTTTTCCAATTGAACCAGAAAGATTATTTTTACCTTTTCTCTAAGAATTCAAGAATTAAATGATGAAAATAAAATAGTGTTAAACAGGATTTGAATATATTGTGATTTATCATGTTGGCAGTGTTTTATTTCAAACTGTAAAATATATTTAGTTTTTAAGGCTAAAATAAAAACAAATATTTTATACAAGTTTTTTCTAATAGGAGTTTCATAATTTTTATGAAAACCGTTCAACGAATGGACTAGTGTAATAATGCCACTTAAAGGGGAAACCAGTTGAAACTTCAGTGATCACAAGGATGTTATCATTAGTTGTTATGTTTAAGCAAGACCAGATTCAGCGGAAGGAGTGTAACACCACTTCTTGACAACGGGCTTCTTCACCTTCCTGGGGTTGGTTCTTGCTCTTGTGCACACCTCTTTAGGTACATCAACACACTCCTCAGTGGGTTCCAACTTGGGAACCAGCTTGGTGACATGAGCACAGGTTCTCTGGGGTTCTAGGGAGCATTCTTCCTTGGGAGCATCCTGGACAACAGTCTGTGTTTTGTCAAAGCATTCCTCAGCTCCCTCCTTGAACCCACATCCTGCAGGGGCACACAACTCCCTAGGCTCCTTGGTACATCCAGTGATAGGGGTATACTTCTGCACTGCCTTCTTAGTAACCTTGCATTCTTCTCTAGGCCACTTGGAGCACTTGGTGAGAGTGGTGTATCCAGAGGTTTCATCAGCACACTTCTCATCCTGGATGGTTTCACACTCAACAACATCATCTTCAACATCATGAACTTCCTGCTTGGTCCAGCACTCTGATTCATACTCAGTTCTGCAGATTTCAGGTCCCTGGACATCACAGTCCTTCACCAGTGGAGTTCTGCATACTTGAACAGTCTCATTGAAGGCAATCTTCTCGTAGTTGATGAAACAGTTCTTTCTGAAGTTTTCCTCGCACTCCTCCTCCTGCTGGGACTCGTAGTTGGTGACATAGGTGGTGTGACACCTTCTGTCGTAGGAATGGTCACACTGGACAACTTCATCATATTCAGTCTCCTCAACCATCTCGACCTTGTCAATACATCTTTTGCCATCAGCTCCAGGACTTGAAGCAGCAACAGCAGGGAAGCTAACATCAGTATCAGCAGCTCCTTGACGATCACCACGAGGAGCAATACTCTGAGATGGGATAAGACGGGCAGGTGTCTCTACATGTGCATGATGATCATGTGCGTGTGCATCAGCTCCTTGAGCATTGAAAGGGAATGTGTTAAGGAGGGATCGTTGACCACGCTCAGCATTGACTTGTCCTCTAAGCTGACGGGCAGCCTCAGAACCTCCAACAGACAACAAAAACAGGATCTAAATGAAAGATATTTAAAAGAGGTTAGCCTTTATTTTTTTTATAGAGAACTAACAGGTTTCAATATATTTTTTGAAACAATTAAAACATTGTTTTAAAATATAAGATTTGTGTTAATTAAATATTTAAAAAATAAATTTTAAAATAAAAACAAAATATTAAATTAATTTGACATCAATCATGTGTTTAATGAAAGAAAAACACTTCCTGATAATTTGAATTTCTAACTAAAAAGTATTAACATACCTGCACTGCAAATTGCTATGAGCCTACAGGTGTTAACACTAGTACTGCTCAAACTCAACTGACCCTACCTCTGACTTTACCATATTTTATACCCATCTTCATTCTCTAATGTATATATGGATCGTAAACTTTATGGAAGAAGACATTCTAAACTATTCACCAACTATCATGTTTCGAGGGACACCCTGTATCAAACAACTCATCAAATCAGGAAGAAGACATTTTAAACTATTCACCAACTGTCTTGTTTCGTGGAACACCCTGTATAACCAAGTTATCACTTTTAAAAGTCCAATGAGCGTGAGACACATTAACTAAGAAGTGTAAACTGACCCATCTCACTAAATTAATGATTTATTTGAAGGTGTCTAGTGAACTTATTTGCTTTGTAATAGCATCAAATATCTTATTCCATTGTTTTTTGGTTATCACTGAATGGTTGTTCAGCTAAGGTTTTAGGTAAAAAACATCTAGACAGAAAGAGGATTCCGTATCTATATGATATACTTTGCTTGTTTTGATTTTTTTTTGTATCCAATAAACGTCAAAACGGCTGAATCGGGCCCACATCTTTTTTGGCACTTGCGTGACCCGAGGGAAGGTTTATGAATGATCAAATTTAAAAAAATGATCTAAAAAGTTTTTTTATTTATGTAAATTATTTTGCAAATCCGCGAAATTTTTTTTTACAATGTAAATCCACAAAGTGAACATGTTCACAATTAAAATAGAAGATAGGCGCGAAGCGCCTTAAAAGCTTAGTATTTTATATATACTTCTCATGTTTAACTTTGTAATTCATAGCTCTCCACAGTGGATCCAGTTATTACTGGCAAAGTTCCGTTAGGGAACGGCAAAAACCGTTAATTTTTAAATCGTTAACAAAACAGATTAGCCGTTTTTGAAAAAATTAACTTGTTAGACGCCTGGTAGTTGGTACTCTAGGACTGGACGTTGTTACTGGAGAACGAAACAAACAATCGAAAAAAAGTAGGGAGGATCCTTCTTTCACGGGAATTAACGAAATGACAATTGTTTAAATAAAATATTTTTTACACTTCAATCCTGTATTCTGGCCATTTAACTTACGGAGGCACAACTCTTGTTTACTCTTGTAAAGGATCTTAAAAACCATTTCCTAATCAGTGAATATAAACTTTAGAATTTTTTTTTATGTGATCTGCAAAAATATTGAAAATTTTCAAAAATTTAAAAGAGGTATCAAATTGATTAAATGTTAAAATTCAATGGCTGGAAAAATGTCTAAATGTTTACTTATCCAGAAATTTTCTTGTTTAACATGCCAAACTGGAAAAGACACATGAAATAAGTATAGACCCATTTGTTTATTTGTAATCAGCGATTATCTACATGAATTTGAATATTTTATGTAAAGCACATATTTCTCTCCTTCAGCCATGGATTTTCACGACTCTGAATGCAGCCTGTTGTCCAACCTGACACATTGAACCATCGCTGAATGCAGTTTTAAATGCATTCAAAGTGAACTCCAGTCTAGGGCTGGGCAAAGTTCCGTTAACGGAACGGAGGTTTTCGAAAATTAACGGAAGAGACCGTTAACGAACGGCAAAAACCGTTAATTTTTATATGATTAGTCGTTTAAAAAAAATTAACGGTTAAAAATGTTAACTAAAGAGCTAAACCCGGTAAATTTCGTTTCTTTCTGATTAAATTTGCATGAAATCTAAAAAAAAACTTTTTTTGTGTTTTGATGTTTTTAAATATCGCCTTCTGTGTTTATAGCCTGTAAACGAATTTTTTTTCCGTTAACGTTGTTAATACTGCAATATACCGTTAACGACTGTGCTGTTAACGATTTCATTAACCTTTCATGAAATTTTATTGGTGCTTTGCGTCATTAATACTGTTAATTTTGTAATGACGGTACCATTAATGGCTAGAGCAATTAATGGTTGTTAAAAATTTTCCGTTAACGCTGTTAAACAAATTGAGATTGTTTTCTATAAATTGTAATTTTAGAAAAAAAAACAGAAAATGCCAAAAACGTAACTAATGTTCCGTTCTCACTTTTTATATTAACGTCTATATGAATTTTTCTTTATTAATGGTTGGAACTCACCCTCAATGAAACGGCTGTAAAAAAGTTGGAACATGCCCAGCCCTACTCCAGTCTGGGAGTGGAATTGCATTTCTACCGAAATACAGTCTATTCCTCTGGAAAAAAATGTATTTTTCCGGGATTTTCAGAAAAATATGTATCTTCTCGATCGATGATCGATGACATTTTGAAAATCTTATTAAAGTTTTAAATTGTTAAATAAAACAAAAAATTTGTCAAGCCAAAAAATTGTCATGCATTTAGAACTAATCACATAATAATTGAGCTACACTACACGTTTTAGATATCAAATTTTGGTGTTTATGATGCTCAAAACCCCCAAGAGTGAAAGATAAGTGTTAATTATACTTGGGTCTGAGATGGCCCTCTTAAGTTCTAACGATATTAACCATCAGAATAAGTATTAAAAAATCATATGAAAATAAACAAAAAACTTTATAAAAAATCAAATACAAAAAAATTGATTGTCACAAGAAAAAGGGGAAACGAACCCAGATTATGGTATGGATAAAAGATACTTGGTAAATATTCTTTTTTTAAAGAATGTTTCAATACAATTAATTTATTCCTTGAGATTTGTTTCCTTCATAATTAGATTCAAAACAAACTGTTTAAATGTACGTATGAGCAAAGAGCTTTGAAATATTATTATCAAAGAGAATAGAATATATATTAGAGTGGAATTTACGAGAAAAAAGTGTAAAACGGCCATTTTGTTGTACTGTTTCCATACTGCAGGTGTACTTCACATATTTATGCTATATAACCTGTTGGGCCCTGGAATATCATTTTATAGAAAATCTAAAATTAATTTTAAAAGAAAACCAAATTATGAAATAGACTGGTTTCATAATTGACCAATAATCATTTCACATAGACTCTATGCCTTTCACTTTACAAACGATGATTTTCCGTTATAACTATAAATCAAATGATGTTTTTATTCCCCTAATTCATTATAAAGGTTATTTAACAGCTTAAAAAATTTAAAAAATTTCGAAATTGAAATGAATAGTCTAGGGAACATACTGTATTAATGTACTCTAATGCACATAATTTGTGAACATTTACATGATTTGTACACTTTGAACTCCCTTTCAGGCTGAAAGGGACTGAGAAAATTCATACCGAGAGATTCTTTAAATTCCTCTCTAATATATATTCTATTCTCTATGATTATAATTCTACCGTCTTTGCGTATGAGTTTAAAGTGAGGGTTGGGCCGGGTGTTGATCTAATTAATTGTTTTAAATGTAATTTAATATTCATTTTTGATTCTTTCAAACAACTATAGACAGTGAAATCCCGACCTTATTCGTATTCCCATTACGGCATAGAAAACCAAGATCAGAGGAAATTCTGCATTTGCCATTTTGAGAAGCTGTAAAAATCTTTTAAATTTCTGATTTTGCTTATAAGGTTTAATTTTAAAAAGAAAATTATTGAAAAAAATGTATGAAAAAATTATTTAAATATCTACTTTCATCTTAAATTCATCAGCTAAATACATTTACATTTCTTTGAATGTTGCCCTTAACTTCTTCGATATAAAAGTCTGGTGTAAACCATCTGTAATTTAGTTGAACTACATCAACACACCAAAACCAAAAATGGCGATCAAAATTTCGCTCATGGTAAGTTTAAAAAATGTTTACATCTTTTAAGATAAATAAAATGTACATGTAAAAAGCACCTAAAAGTTTATTTATGCCAAAATTGTTCGTCATACATTTATGCAAGTAACCCTGAGTCGTAATGTGATTTTTGATTTATTTTAAGATTTTCCTAATTATAAAAATTTCAAAAACTGTTTTGAAAAATAAGTTTGAAAAGTCCAAAATGTAACACCAGTCACCATCTTCTTTCTATATGATAAAGTTCTTCAATGATATATATATAATATATATATATTTACATGTTGGCCAAACAGCGTGACCAAATAGTCTGACATTTTTTTAGGGTAATCAAAAACCTTGGTGAACTTCCTGATAAAGGCAAAAGTCGTTAATCTGTTAGGTCTTTCTGAATTAAAATACTAAAAACCTTTCATTAGATGTGAATGTCATCAAAAAATAAGGTTTTTGGTTTCAAATTAAAAGTATAGAATATTTTGTAGGTCTGACCATTAACGGCTTGCACCATTATCAGAAAGTTACCGAGGCCTATTAACAGCCTAGCAAAGTTCGAAACCTGTTTTTACTCTTCATATTACAAAGAACTGGATTGAACTAAACCATTAAGAGAAGAACGAACTAGGAACAAACAATCAAGACCAATGTGAACAACAAATTAGAACTTGCCCACCCATAGTTGCCCTGCTATTTAACTAATCACTGATAAAAAGATTAGAAAATATTAACATGCCCAGCTCAAATCTTAACCACCCAGCAAAGGAATTGAGTTTTTGCCACAAACTCGGATTTTCTAATTTCAATATCGTTGCAACCCAATGTCGTAGGCCTTTAATATTTCAAACTATGAATGCTATTAGATCAAATAATGTAAGTTTGAAATAGCAAAGGTTTACATCATAAGGTTGCAAAGATATAGGTTTTACAAAAACAAAAAAAATTTGTGGCAAAGACTCAATTCCAAACATTTAAAATATTGTACTATAAATCTCTTTATTTAGATGGCCCTGTTTTGCCTTGCCTTGTTCCCTGCTTCAAGCTACGGTCTTCGCAGCCTTTGCTTCTGTAGCAATCCGTTCTCTGGAGCTAATTCCCACATTGGGGTAAATTTTTTCATTATTGGGGTACATTTTTCATTTATAAATATACGTTGCTTACTCCCACATTGGGGTAAATCTTTTCATTATTTGGGTACATTTTTTCATTTATACGTTGCTTACTCCCACATTGGGGTAAATTTTTTCATTTATAAATATTCTGCCTACTCCCACATTGAGGTTTTCTTTGCTTTTGTAACAATCAAAAC